ACATGGAGGCGCGCGGTTTTCCTTTTGTTTTTGTTTTGGAGGCTTTGTCTGTCATCGTGGAGACATGTTGATTTTTTTTTTCAAGGGGTGTAAGCGACGGCTTATAGAAACTTTTGGTGAGCTTGCTGTAGACCATCTTCGAGAGAGCTCGTCGAATGTACCTAGTAAAGATTAAACACCTAATCAGGTAAGAAAGAATAACCTGTTGCCGGGATAACGACTTGGCGTTGTCTGCGCAATCGTTTCGCACGAACAGGTTGACGAACTCGACGGATCCTTCGAAATCCGCCTAAAGATTAGCTCAGGCTGTTGATTGCCCCCACAATGATCCGATGAATCAGCTCGGATAGGTTGCCCTATTGAGCGTTTGGGGCCAGCCGCGGGACCGCTTTAACAGTGCGTCATAAGCTAAGTTTTGCCTGACGATCAGCTCAGGTGGTGCCTCGCAATCACCAACGTAGATAATTACACGCCTAATGATTAGCTTAGGCGGTGTCCTTCACACGATAGCTTCTCTAATCTCGGTTAATAATAATTCGAAATAAACTGCTATATAATATTTGTTACTACACATAATTAAATCGCGAAAGAAACACGCATTGCTTGTATTAATAATAAACGCAATTATGTATAAATGTTTGATGTTCTCATTGCGCGCTCCCAGCGACCGGATCTTCTCTTATTATTCATAACACTCACAAACAAAATTTCAAAATATTGGCCATGTTGCTTCTTTATAATTTTGTCGATGTAAGTGGAGGGAATATGCTGCTGCTCGAAGAAAATAAATCGCTGAAATTGCTGAAAATCGCTAAAATCTATATCAATTAACCCATTTCAGCAATACAATATTTATAAAATGTTTACAGTATATTTATATTTATAAGATTTATTTTAAATATTTTGTAAATATATTTTTGTGGTCTTATAGATTGCACAAATCATAAACATTTATTATAAATATTATAAATATTTATTGTAAATGTTATAGTAAATGCTGCGAAAATACTTAATGAGACATTATAATCCAAGTAAAAAATACTTGTTAGAAATGTTTATTTATATTTATCATTAATATTACATAAAATATTTAGTCTATATTTTAATATTTCGAATAAAGCTTTATATGAAATATGTAGGAAATATCTATATAACATTTCAAAAAATAAATATTAATAAATATTTATCATAAACATTCTGTGCTGTCTGGGCACTTGACGGTCGAAGTTAGATGTATATTTAATAAGATACGTATTCTTTAAATGAATCCGGGTTCGACTTCCGGTTTCGAAATATTTTTCGCAATAAGATCTTTAGAGATTTTAAGATGTATGTAATTATAAATTTAGAGGGATTATTAATATTTCAGATGGATTGTGTTGAAAGTTTAGTAGTAACGGTGCGCAATCATATTTCTGAGAATAAGTGGCGTTTCTCGTATTTCTCGTAAATTATATAGTTATTTTCGCGATACTCTTGTTTATGTCAGGACGGGACGTGTACTTGTTTTTAATAAATTGCTAATTAATTTATTTTCTATAAATATAAGGCTTTTTTTTTAAATCTCCCCTGCATGAATACTTTTTGCACACACACATTCATTGTGTAGTATAAAAAATAAATATTACATACGCTTATATAATAATATATTTTCTCCGTAATTCCCTACGGTTAGTGATCTGTATGTATAAAATTCTTTGCCAATTAACTTATAAGTACGTAAAAATTCAGATATTTCACTCGCAACTTTATCAAATGCTATCACATAAGTTGGTAACGTAACTTTCACATTGTTAATATAATTATCTCTGAGCCAGATTGTTGCATTTGCAAAGAACTGATCGGCTTCGTCTATGTAGTTTTCGGTGTTGCTCAAATTAGGCTCACATGTCAAAAATCTTATTGATACGTTTACATGTAAATGACTGTATAATGGCGTGCTGTGGCACGGGGTCAAAATCAGCATGTCCATCGATGAAATATTTGTACGAGTAATTTCGTCTCGCAGGTCCTCCATTATCGTCAACGTGCCACGTTGGTGAATCATGGAAATGAACAATCCAATTATGATATCGCTGCACATGAACATCGCTATGATCCTTTTACGTACATTAGCGTTAATGTTCAAATGTTTAAGACTAGTGAAACTCGTGTATATTAACAATGGCAAAAGCGGTAAGATAAATCGAAATTCCTTATGAGACAATGACGAATAGACGAGTAAAGTCCAACAGATTACTACTAGCATAATCGATTCTTTAGCGTGAAAAAAAGGATGCTTACATATTGAGTAGAAAGCAAACAGGAATGGAAAGAAATGCAACCCAAGTAGCACAGGTAAAGCAGTATAAGTATACCATAACCAGTGCTTGATGCCGTATGTGCTCCCAACATTCCTAAGTACGTTCATTTGGAAGAACTTCCAAGGAGTTATAACAAACGTTCCATAACAGTAACAATCTACCAATATAGAAATTATGGCGCAAGTAAAACATATTAAAACGCATCGACCAGGCAGTAATTTCTTTTCTAATGCATCGCGACGAATATAGCGAAGACAACGAATGTGAATGTAATACAAAGGAAGCCACATGATTGCAGCGGTGGGTCTTGCCATACAGAGAAAACCTACGATCCACATATATTTTAAGCTTAGTATGGAAATTTCTCTCCCTAGTATCGGATGAATTGATAATGCTATAATAGTACATGCAGTTTCCACTGAGTTTATCAGTGTCCTAGTGGCACAATAATACCAGAATGGATTCAAGCACAAGGAGACGAGCATCCACTTGTTTTTGGTCCATTGGTAAAATCTGTAATCCGCATAGGCGACGAGAATAGCTTGAAAGACACGGGGCAGCATCGTCAACAGCAGCACATAATCCAAGGAAAGTTTGGAAAGTATCTGATAAAGGATCGATATGAGAAACGGATACATGTAACTACGAATCATTGTTGTCCATTCCCATGTGAGGTATCCATAACCGAATGCCAAACGATGAGCCACTTCCAGCGACTGCCAGTACTCGTCCGGCACGTGAGCAGTCTGTACCACAATCACATTGATTAACCGCCATAATATCAGAAGCAGTAGCAATCCAAACTCTTTTGATAGACGCATCTCTCAGATCGGCAGTCTCGAATCAGCGTGTCATTGACAACGGATACGTAAGCTTCTCGAATTTCATACACGTGAAACTCGTTTCCGCGAATAAATAACCAGCTTCGCTCAACCTAACCTAACAAATAAAAAGGTAATCGTTTAGTTTTTAGCTGCGTCACTATCGGAAATCGATGAAATCAAGCTGATTCGACGCGTTTTTGTCCGAAATACCTCTGAAAGGAACGAATCTGACCGAGAAAAGCGTGGAAAGGCATCGCTCTGTCTCGCAAACCGCAACCACCGAGATACAAGCTAAAAGCCCGATGCCACGACGTGGAACTCGAGCCACTCGAGGTCGATTGTGTATCTCGAAATAAGGTGAAAATTACAAAAGTGAGCAAATTCACTAGAGAATACTCGTAATTCAATCGGTCAATAACTAGTGAATTCGCTCACTTTTGTAATTTTCTGATTTTCACCTCATTTCAAAATACGCAATCGACTCCCTTGATACGCGTCAGGGATGTTCAGTGTTGGTAACTTAAGGGTGAAATCACACGGTGCGGAAAAAGACTGCGGAATAGAGAGAATGCGTCGTTGAAGCAACCAATCAGCGCTATTCGGAATGTGTGATTTCACCCTTAGGCCGGAATCAGACTACGCGCATTGGAGGTTGAGGATTGAAATTTGACCAATAAGGACGAAGAAATTTTAGTTGCTTTCGTTTCGATTGGTCAAATTTGAATTTTTCAATCTTCGATCTCGATCTTCGGTAGTAGATCAGCGTAGTCTGATTCCGGCCTTAGGCTGCCTTCCCATGGAGAAAGAAACCACGCGAAACGGAATATTGACAGAAAAGAGATAGGACGAGGATGATAACCCTCGTATTCCGTTCCGCGTGGTTTCTTTCTCCATGGGAAGGCAGCCTTAGCGTATCGATACGCGCATCGCCAATTCCTACAATATAGACATTCGAATATAGGCGGGAATTGCTGAAGATTGGCGGACCAATCAAAACTGGCTGTCTGATGTCGCGACTCTGATTAGAGGTTCTCTAGGGCTAATGAGAATGAGTCAGCGGTCTAGTTTAGTTTATCTAGTTATAGATTACATTTACACCTTGGAACATACTCGTCCTTAGAACGTACCCTAGTGTCGAAAAATGATGTCAGGAAACTGACCAATCACAGTCATTCCATTCTTCAAAAGCACAGCTATGATTGGCCTGTTTCATAACATCGATCGATGTTATAACTTGGGCGTAAATCGAGCCGTATAAACGTAGTGTCATAGAAGCTGTGATGATATGTACATACGTACATACGTGCATATACGCGTATACGCGTTTGGTCGCGCGTCGTTGCTCGAATGTTCATTAGCGAACGCGTCCCAACTCCCATTTCCCATTCGTCATTGCCGCCATTACGGTATAATACTCGAATCGATCGGGCGAGGTCTATTAGATATAACGATTAAACGATACTCCTCTCGCGAAACGAACGGTACAAAAGTCGATATCGCATCGTCGCAGGTAATAAGTCGATAGCTGATCGCCGGGGCCATCGTTGCCTTTCGACGCGAGTTGAATTGAACTTCGATAGCCGCGAAAAAGAGTAACCGAACAACGTCGTCGTAGGTGCATGCGTATGTACGAGGGGAGGAATCGGATATATCGAAGCAGCGCGTTCGCGGTAAAATTGGTCGCAGTTCGCAGGCATTCGCAGATTCGCACTCGCGTCGCCGGCGCGGCGTCCGGCGACTGGCGAGGCGACCGGAGGCGACCGGAGGCGACCGGAGGCGACCGGAGGCGACCAGAGGCGACCAGAGGCGACCGACGGTCGACGCTACGCGATGCCTCGTTGCCTTCTCCCGTGGCCCGCAGTGGCCTGCAGTGGCGTGCGATATGAATTGCATTGCGACATTTCATCCTGAGATTGATCGAATGTCGTAATTGGATTATTGGATTCGCACGTGGTGGACCCTCGCTCTCCTGCCATAGGCCATAAAACGACGTACGTGCCTACATGCCGGTGATCGATGATCGGTGATCGGTGATTGGTGATCGTACTCGAGTGTATACGGTACTACGGCATGGAGGGTAACAAACAAACGTTGGTCAATAACCCGGCGGCGAAGCCAGGCACGTCGGACGACAACAAGGATGATATACAAATGGTACTGGCGAAAATGATGGAGGAGAAGCACACGTATACGTATAAGAAATTGGTGGTGCCGCCGTCGATGCGGAGTATTTACTGGAAATTCTTTGGGTTTCCAGCCACCGACGACGGCGACATTCTCACCAAGGTAAAGATCGTCTGCATCCTGTGCAAGACGCAGATCGCCTACAATCGTAATACCAGCAACCTGCGCATGCATCTGCAGAACAAGCACGCTCAGGAACTGAGGGACCTCGAATCGTCCAATCTCCCGGCTACGAAACAGATCCTCTCGCTGGACAACAAGGAGCGAAAGATGCAGAAGAAGCTGCTCAAGGGCCTGAGCCCTGCTAAATATATCTATACTACTAACGCAGACGGTACCGTTCAGATAGACGGTGACATACAATTTGTTACAGATCCTAACATAAGTCTGTCAAACATGGAGGACGATATCACCATTGGTCAACCACTGAGAGTAATGATCAAGGGTGGCTCTGGTATTAACAGTAACGGCCAGAATGTGGCCTTCCTCATGGAGGAGAATGTCAACCAGTCGGTCGATGTAAAAACTGTGTCGGAAGCTATAGCGGACTTTCTAATTATGGATTTGCAATTGCCCGAGATCGTAGAGGGACGTGGATTCCAAAGGCTAGTAGCGACCCTACGTTCACCTTGCGAGATCCCCAGCAAGAACAAGCTGGAAGAAGAGATAGTACCCGGAATATATGATACCTTCCGGGAATCGGTGAGAACTTCCTTGTCCTACGTCGCCTCGGAACTGGCATTGACCATTGAGGAGTGGCGGTCCAATAACAATGAGAATTTCGTTACTATGTCGGTTTATTATCAAAATGACGAAGAGGCCACTTTAGAATGTAAGATTTTAACCACTCTTCACGCGCCGCTAGATTGGGAGGAATCCCATTGGGGAAATGTCATAGACTCTCTGTTACGTGAATGGGAGTTTAAAGTAGAGAAAATAACGGCAGCGGTCGTTAGTACTTCAAGAACAAACTTGCTCGCGGCGCTAACTAACCTTGGCTTGACTGTGGTGCCGTGCTTGCTTCATACTCTACAAATGTGCGCGCAGGCTTGCTTCGAGAGTCCTCAAGTATCGCAAACGTTAGCCAAATGCAGATCGGTTATTGGTGCTATCGTAAGCCATCCACGTGCACTTGAAACCTTGACTATGCAAGAACAATTGTCAGATCAGGTATTTTCGTAATGCTATCAATTAATATTTGGCATCAAAAATATTTTTATCCTAACACGCGTATATATACGATTTAATGTTTACTAATAATTAAAAATGTTTTATGAACCAAAATTTTTCTGCAACAACAAAATATTTGGTTAAAATGTACCCAACAAAACTGCTTAATTAGTATAAACAAATATTTTTTATTATTTATAAAGCATCAAAATTTATTTCGCCCAAGCAACTAAATATTTTTATTGTACAATATAAAACGAGGTATCTGGTTGCTGTTTGAAAGATGTTTCAATTAAACGGTTTTGCTAAAGGCTCAATTTTTTTTTCTAGCGTATATGTATAAAATTGATAAGTGAAATTTGATAAATTTTTTAATATTATTACTCTTCTTATTGTAGTTCGATGAAAATACTATAGTCTTAGATTATCCAGCCATATGGATGTCTACGTACACGATGCTGGAACAAATAATTGCGCGTCGTAACATGATTGTCTCTGTATTAGAAAGTACCGACGAGATAGATCATGAAATGTTTGAAATCTCCAACGAACAGTGGAAAATTATGGAAGATATCGTCAATGTTCTCGCACCGTTCAAAGTTACCATTATGACGTTAAGCGAAGAAAAAATGCCTCTGATATCCCTATTGAAACCATTACTTTGGCAACTTGTATCTTCGCATCTTAAAGTAAAAGAATCAGACAGTGGCACAGCTAAGACTTTTAAAGAATCCTTGTCGGATATGTTGTGCGAACGATATGCGGATTCCAATGTTACGTCGTTTCTACAAATTGCAACTACTTTGGATCCCAGGTATATTAATGTGAAAGTTTAGGGCTTAAATACAATGAAAGGAGTAAGGAGCAAATTTCTTATTCCTTCCATTGTCTCTCGGCCCTCTATTTGTGAATGTGTTAATAATAGATCCTGTTTTTTTGTGGCTGAACTAGTATACACTTTTGCAACTTAAAGTGAGATAGGTATATGTTTGATATTTGTCGAGAAAGAGAGTTCTAGTACGGGACTCTAGTGCAGTCTAGTGCAGAAACAGAAAACAGACCATACGTATGTACATTCGGCTGCAAAAAGGTTGCAACAATTTATTTTTCGGTGGGTTTCGGAATGTGGGGCTTGCTCACCGCGCGATCGGTTCTTACTTATGGGTCTATTCAATTACGTTCAATCGCTATTTTATATAAAATTGCATCTGAAAGACCATACCAAGATTGGTTTAAAAGATTTTAAAATGAATATTTTGATGTAAACGATAAACACGCACCGAAGCATTTCTTCACTTTGACATTCATATACTGTCTGAAAAATTGCAAAGTGATAGATTCGAAAGACAAATATTTTGAAATGTTTGTACCATTTCTTTTATATATGTATAATAAATGTATTAATAAATATATTTTCGAAAAAAATCCGCGGAAATTATTTATACATCTAAATTCTAATATTTAATTTTAAAACGCGTTACCATTGTACACCTTGTGTACACTCTTTCACTCTTAACTTTCGACTCTTTAATGAACTTATAAAACTGAAACATACGTGAGATAAGAACTGGGAATTGAAACTGGAACTTAACGACTGTATTCACGCTGAAAAGGAAAGATTCAGAAGTAGTCCTTATTGATTTCAATAAAACTCGACAGGATTACAAAGTGTTCCCCTGAATATAATTATACCCTTATTTGGGTGTATACGGTCAACCACGTTTTCGAGATACTTCAATATTAAATTTAATAGCTGTATATATAATAGTTTTTATGAGAATTTATTAAGGCTCCTGAGTAGTGACCACAATCATAATGAATAGTGACGTTAGAAGCGAGAAATGACACGTTAATTTTTATTACATGCCATTTATAAATAAAGACAATTCGGATAAAACAAAACGATGAGCTTTAAACAGGGTGTCCTCTACCGGGGAAAACTTGGAAAATCTGGAATTCTCATGGAATCTTGTTGAAATTATAAGAGAAATTTTTCGAATTCTATTTTTAATTTTAAATTCTCTCTCTATTTTGTTTGACAGAATCATTTCTTTGACCATTTTTTTTAATAAATAATGCAAGTTTGACTAGACCCTAATGCCAGATAGCAGCCGATCAGCCGTTTGTGGTATGCTAACAGCATGTGAAGGGATAATACATGGTCTACAATAGGAGTCGTAGTGGTCATAAAGTCTGAAATCGTAAGACATAGACCAATCGTAGTTGAATGTGAGGAGAATAATCGATTATAATTGGTCAATTTCTTACGATTTCAGATTTTAGAATCACTAGATGTGTAGAAAACCTCGCATATGCCGATTCTTCAATGAGTCGGTAGTCGGTAGTCTTAAGTCTTATCGGTGAATCAGTGAAGTTGTACGATTAAAGGTGCTTTTTCATGTTGATGCTCGACGCTAATTTTTAGCATCAAAATAGATCACGTGATCGAAATTGATGCTTGATATTGCGGAAATTGCAAAATGGTGGAGGACTTTTCGACTCAGTTTAGTCTGCTCTATCTACTCAAAAGCGCTTGGCAAAAACTTACGGGACACTCTGTATATATAATTTTTGAATTATCTGTTTAGAAATTTTATCTCTAATTTTATCTGGAATGTTGAATAAAATTTATGGAAAAATCTGGAATTCTCAGGGAATGCTTTTATAAGATTTGAGTACCCTGTTTAAAACATTTGTAAAAATCGACGAAAACTATGCTTATCCCCCCTGACAATCAGTAAATAATCTTAAAAAGTGATAAAAGGCACATGAAGTGCTTTTATTCAATGCGCATGCGTGGTTTATTTTCACTTACACTGTGCCTTTTATCACTTTTTATGATTATTCACTGACTGTTTTAAAGCAATCTCATCATTTTGTTTTATCCAAATTGTCTTTATTTATAAATGGCACATAATAAAAATTAACGTGTCATTTCTCGCTTCTGATTCGTCACAATTCTATACGGCTGTGATCACTACTCCGGAGCCTTAAAACGTTTATTTACTTGAATAGTTGTAGCGTAGTGGATATGGTAACTGCTTCTTAATTTATAAATTCGAATTTAAACCTCACTAGCAATTAATTTTTTTGTCGTATAATATTTTATAATAGGAATAATTATTGAGATAAAAAATTAATTATTTTTATTACACATTTCTACCTTTACAAATTTTAAGATGAAGGTTTTGATAAAAACAAATATTATATAATATAAATTTTTGAAGCATCATAAACTCGCGTACAAATTCTAATGAATTGCTGCTGCTAAATTTAATATTGAAATATCTCAGAAATGGTTGACGTCCAAGTAAGGATGATAATTATATTCAGGGGAACACACTATAATCCTGCCAAGTTTCATTGAAATCAATGAAGGTCACTTTTGAGCATTTTATTGTAAGCCAGGCAGCATCCTACTAATTGAAGTAACTCACTTTGGAAACATCTATCTTATTATGTACATATATTTAATTTTTATATTACAGATTTAAAACAATGCCATATGTCACTGAAGAAGATAAAAGTGTAGTCAGCACACCTATAAAGCGAATGTTGACGAAATTGATTCAGGAAGAATCTGGGGATGTTTCGATAAAGACTGAAGATGAGGCAGTACCAAGTAAAAAAACTAAAGTCTCAGGTATTTTTTTTTTTTTTTAGATAATTACATATAACGCATCTCCAATTATGCAGGCGACGTGAAATAGACATTTTAGATCGATTCTTAATTACAGGTATGGAGTTCTTACTTGGTAGCCTATGCACTACAAAGGCCGGTATGCCCGCGGAGGAAAAAGCTGACCTCGAAATTGTTCAATATCAATCGGAACCTACGGCACCTCTCGATTATTGTCCGCTACAATGGTGGTCGAAGGTGTCTGCGAAATGTCCGAATCTGGCAAAATTAGTGAGCAAATATCATTGTGTGCCCGCTTGTTGCGCACCACCTTCACGCATCCCGCCAGACGTGCAGATTCAATATGATACAAGGCGAGCAACTTTGCCGCCTCATCTGATTGACAAATTACTCTTTTTGCATGGTAATCATACTATGCAGATGTAAAAAAAGTTTCTGAGCCTGCAAGACGCTGTCTGAAAAATATCTCGCTGTATATAGGATATTTTCACAAACGATGTATCGGATTTACTTGCAATAATTTAGTCCAAAGTGACATATATGTGCAAGTAAACTCTTTGTATAACTTTCTCTAATTCTGTATACAATGTACATATTATGTAAGGATCTAAGATACGAAGAATGTTAATTTTGTTTTTACTTTTATTGAATATGACATTCCTAAGATTCGATATAAAAATTATCGATCATTACCCAATAAGCGAAATACGAGGTACATTACATATAAGGTGAGATTAATGCAATAGAGTTTTTGCATAATTTAACTTTTAATTTATAATAGAATTAATAGAAACCGATATAAGAAGGATCTCTCTGGTAGAAATCACTGTAAATTATTTTTACGTAAACTTCTAGATTTTCTTAAAAAGAATTTATTTAAAATCATATTTTGCACAATAAAAAATATTTAGATTGTCTTGAAACATTTTTGATCGAGAAGTAGAATCGCTCTTTTATACATTTTAATACATCACATTCACATGAAATTGAGAAATAAATGTTAAGATCAAATGTTTGTGTGACCAATTCTAAAGTTTGTTCGTTACAGAAAAATCATGTATAGAAAATACAGTTATTACGATTAATAATAACTGTTAACCTTCAAACCGTACATCTCCCTTGAGTATCTACTAATGATACACAGGTGCGAATTGGGATTTGACATTTTTAATTGTAAGCCTCTCTTGAAGATTAAAACAGAAATTTCTTTAAAACCACTTTTTTCTGAGGTATAATTTTCTCACAAATCCAATGGTATCACTCAAATTTAATGAAAAAGCATATTTAACGTAGTGCGGATAAACCACGGCAACTGTTCATACGCAACTGTCACAAATTGAAAATTTTCGTGGTGCGAATTCGCGCTAGTGTACGGTTTGAAAGTTAATAATAAATTATATTTTATAAGGGTGAACAAAACTTTACAATGGCTGCGTTCCGTTTCACGCATGATGTGCATAAAGCATCATTTATTCTTGTTTAACATTTGGTGAATAACAAGGGTAAAAGATGCATCATGCGCATCATGCGAATACCCGAACAATAGCCTACAATTATGTTAGGACGTAAATAGACAGTCCCACCTATCACTCAATGTAAATATGCCTACTAATATTAATTTCTTTTTGCAAAAAAGTCTTGTTCATATTTTAACCATTCATGTATTTTATGTTTTAATATAATACTATCCTAGATTGTGTGAGAGTTCGTTGTATTTTTCTTTTTAATATAAATTTGATAAAATATCTAATAACATATAATTGTATTTCATTGCTTATATTATTTGGTATTGTTATTAGTTTAAAGTTTAAAGTGTATAAACAAACAACATTTGCTACATTTCCTATAAACATTTATTATCAAAAAATGTTCAATGTATAATCGGAATCATTTCTCATTACACTAAAAAATAACTATGAAAATTTGTAATATAATTCTATATATATATCTCATGCTATTAAGAGTTTTTAATTTTATGATTTTATATTAATATAAAGATAAAGACAATATTAGGTCACATATAATAAGTCACAGATAAATATAATATACTTACACAATTATTTGTCTTAAATTTTAATTATTTTGAATTTATTAACAAATTCTAGTATACAATTAAATAGATAAGTTATCAGCCAGATATTATGATTGGAACTTTGTATAATATACAGTGATATATACAGGGTGTCTCATAACTCTTAATTAATATTTCTGAGAGTGAAAGAGGATGAATTTTTGAACTAAAAGTTCTTTTCCCAATTTTGGCTCAAGCCATTATTTATTGAGTTATTAAGGATTAAAGTTGATCAATCAGATTGTGCCCAGCCGGAATACGCAGGAGGGCAGTATACTATGAGGTTCTTTGCTCTTACTGTATATTCCCCCGATTAAAATTTTATTATAATTTTTCATATTAATAAATAAATGCGTAGATAAATAACTTACCCATTTATTGATTTATACATAGTCTGAGCCAAAATTTGGTAAAGGAATTTTTAGTTTAATATTTCATCCTCTCATTCTCAAAAATATTAATTTAAGAGTTAGGCCCTGCGCATAATAGAAGGAATAAGGAATTAAGAATAAAGAATAAACGATTTCGACCTATTAGAAACCATGTATTCCTATGTATCCGATTTCTGATAGGTTAGAATCGTTTATTCTTTATTCCTTCTATTGTGCACAGGGTCTTATGGACCACCCTGTTGATATGAGTGATCATATATATAAATTGCTCGAGGCTAATTAAAATAACACAAAAAATAATCTATAAAAAGTATAGAGTAATGATTTATTTTCCATTAATATATTAATGTGTGCATTGGCACAATCATTTTTGAATAATGTATAAAATCATCTTTTCCTCGATCTCGAAAGACATATAGAACATACAAATATAAAAATATGTATATAAAAAGTTTGTAATAAAAGTTTTTTTTACACAATGTATATAAATTGTACAATGTTTGTATAATATATGAATTTAGAAATTAATATATGGATATATCTTCGTTTCATCTATGTTATATAGTCATATAAATTTGTATAAATACAAAGACATTGTATAAATAGCTTAAAATAGTAAATTTGAAATACACAGATATATTCTTACATCTATGTTTTATCAGAGCTACAATTACCCTTTATGTCTCATTGAAATTTTATTTGCATGTAATCACGGAATACTCAATTGCTTTTGTACCCAAGCAGAACTTTTGTAGAATCTTGGATCACCGATTCTCAGAGAGGCTCTTTTATAAAAGTAATAATACAGCACTGCAACTTTGTAAATATCCTGAATTACCATTTATTTATCAACGTTCTAAGATAATGTTCTAAGTTTTCTAATATTGTACCTGTTCTATGTGCAGAATGAAGAGTGTGAAATTCTTTTGTCCAATAATGTTTTAACGGCATTGACCAATGTATACTGATGTGCCATGTATGCAAACTGATTGATAACATCATGTAGATAATGCATAATACTAATGTCATACGGAATCTTGTGTACAGTAGCTGTATCAAACCTGCCTGAAAATGAAACCTGGTTTACATATCTCTGTCAAATGTACATGATATAGGTGTAAAAACTTGTCAATCAGTAAGCATAATTTAGTAGTTCTAGTTTTAAACAGAATATTATAGCAGATGTCAATCGCACCCAAATTAAGCTTGCGTTCCACCAACAAAGTTTGCCGACATAGTAGATTATCATTTATATTATCCAATATCATTTAAATTAAATGGTTATGAAATGGCAAATTCTGCTTGGTTTTCATGATTGGTCTGCCATCATATATTCTATTACAATTTTGCTGGCATTTTGCTTAAGGAATCCCACGCTTTTTAATTGTATGAAAAATTGAGTGAATTGAGTCAGTTTTTTCACATATAACGACATTACAGTTTATAATGCGGCGAATAAAGATATCGTTATAGACAAAGCTCAATAATGGATAATTTTTTTTGAGCTTGGTATATCAAAAATGTAAAACTCACACAGAGCACATTTGATATACTACAGCTCAAAAAATATCCATTATTGAGTCTATATCTTTTGTTCACCACATTATAAGCTACATTATATGTGAAAATTAATGTGGGGTCTACAATAGAAGTCTTAGAAAATTGACCAATCACAATTTAATATGAGAAAAATAATCGATTAATTTTTATAACTTAAGATCTCACGACCGTCTATGACTTCTATTGTAGGCCCTGTATAATTCGTTTTATCAGGACCCAATTTTATCTTCTATATTAGAGAGATGATGTAGTGTTTAGTGATGAAATATTTATATTTTAAGCTAATCTGAAATATTCAGAGCATTTTTTCACTGTCAATTTATATATTGAAAGGAGCCTAGACATTCAAAGTGCATTATGTCCTTTAACTAAAAGCAAACAAATTCATTTCTTTACACCTTTAGCATTTTTTTAAGTAATTTTTTTTAACTTTTAACATCCTACTGATTGACACATCGTTATTTTCTGTAAAGTGTGTCAGTTTTCTTTGTCCTTTTTCTAAAAATTGCAAATTTTGGACAAAGCGCATTTCTTAAGTCTGCTCTTCACTTGTAAAATATATTTTTAATAGATTAACACGCTGTAAATTTGCAGTATAACATTCCTTACTCTGATTTTCCTGTAATTTCGTATATTTCGAGAAAGATAATCGTCAGTCAATTTCTGTTTTTTCTCTTAATTTCAAGATTTTTTATGTCAACATAAAATTGACTCTATAATTTACATTATGAATATAAGAAGACAGTTTGTGTTTTTAATTAATTAAAGCAGAGAATATGTAAAGAATTATTATCAAATTATCAGTTTCTTACTTACTGACATAAAAAAAACTTAAAAAAAAAAAAAGAACAAAACTTGAGCGATGAGCGATTCTTCTTGGAATAAATTCTACTCATGAAAATACATAAATGTAAAGAATAACATTTGGCTACAAACTTAAATATATAGGTTCACCTGGAAGATGTAAGTGGAAAAGAAATTTACTAGGAGCAACGTGAGAGCTACGATGAGGCAAAAGTCTTGAATCCTGAAATTGTTGCATCGATTAAACGCAATTCCACAACAATGAATAGGTCGTCACAATAAAGGCGCAACGAAAATTATAAAAAATGATTACGCACACATAAAGTACCAGCAGGTCAGTTGGATGTTGCCTGGCGAAGCTCGCGAACGAATTTATGCAAACATCAAAGAGCAATATAACATATTGCAGGATTGCGATAACCGTGTATTGTCTTGTGTTTAAGGAACTCATTTACTATTTGTTGCTATTTGTCGAAAAAAATCTCGTGAAACGTAAATAGATACTTATACATAAACTTGTGGAACGTGAAACGCTAGTCGATTAGATTGTCACGCAAGTGGTCGCTATGGCAACTATTGCCTAACCCAACTTGACCGTCGACGAAACTCTTGGCGCGAACGACGTGAACGTGGTGACAGCTAGAATCCCAGATAAATCTAGGACTCTAGTGACAGCTAAAGTGACATCTAGTGACTTTAGTGACAGCTTGAAGGTTAAGCAGAATTTAGCTTAACTCTACAATGTGCTCTTTGTTTCCCGTTTCTTGCTGTTTGTCTCTTGCCTTTTTGATCAAGAAGGCAAGAGACAAACAGCAAGAAACGGAAAACGAAGAGCACATTGCAGAATTAGCCTTACTCCTCTCTGCTCCACTCTGTTTCGTATCTATTGGCTGCGTTCAGCAGACTCAACAG